TTTGCTGTCTAATCCTTATTAGGACATGTCTAAGCTATATTAGGATATATAATTTGATATATAAGCCCTACTCGAATATATCGGTTGATATCATGTATATTGTTATCTTTAAAAGAGTGGTTTGTATAACTTCCTTTATTAAAGAAATACTTTGCTGATTATTAATAAAAAAAAACAAACAGAAATTGTCTTTTAATTATGAGTTTACTATCCACATCTTCACAAAATTTAATATCTTTGGTCTCTTGCCCAGTTTGTTTTTGAAAATTTAAAGAAAATGGCTATAAAAAATATTGTAGTACAATTGAAAAATATAACATGCTACGCAGTGAACTTGATGAAATTTCGGTTAAAATATCGCATGAATTTAAAAATCTTTAATTCAGCAAATACATCACCACTTACCATTAAGTTTTGCCAAAATGGAAAAAAGGTACTATCAGTCCCGTATACTGAAAGTCAATTTATTGCTATTTTTAGAGGTTATATTCACCAATTTTCAAATAAACCATGAGTATATAAATGTAGATTTCATGATGAGTTGGCATATTCAACTTTAATACAAATTTTAGAAGATCCCAAATGGGGTCGAAGATACTATGATCAAAATCAACAAGCATATATTGTTCTGGAACAATTATTGAATCATACTAATAACAAAGATCAAGATAATGATGATATTGATCCTCTAGAACAGTTAAATAATCAAAAAAAAAAACCCCTTCCAAAATTTTCCCAGACCAAGCTTCTAGTAAAATGAAAAAAAAAACTATCAAAGAAATAGATGATCATACTTGTGTTGCAGGTTTTATATACTTATCTTTTTATGTATCACAAAGATATATTCCATATAAATAATTGTAAATCTTTTATGTATCTGGCCAGAGGAATAGCTTGAAAGAGCTATTTTCGATAGACATTTTAATTATCTTGAATATAATAAATTTACAGACCTCATATCAATTAGTATTGAAGGTTTTGAAAAGGTTTTTAAATATGAATAGAAAGAGTGAATTAACAGTTGCTTTTAAATGTCTTATAGTAGACAAAAGCTTAGATTTCAAAATTTATTAATGAAGTAATATGTGTAGAGTTATAGCCAACTAATTATGAAGTGTAGTAGTAATATTTACAAGCCAAGTGAGGCTTTTAAAAGTGCGGAAAACACTAATTCCAAAGATTTAAAAAAATTGAAATCATAATATATTCTAATAAAAAGATAGTATTCGCATAAATCAAACAAATTAAAATATTAATTTTAATTTCATGCTTTTTGTTTTTAAGATGAAAAAATTTTTGGCAAAGCTCTTTACAAAAATTTCAATTTAAAAATTTAAATATTAATATTTGTAATATTGGTTTTGAAGATAAAAAAACTATTGCAGAGCATACTGTAAAAATATTACTTAAGTTCTTTTGTTTTAAAACAATAATAAAAATTGCCTCATCACATGGGTTGTAAACTTTTTTGTATATAGTGCGATGAACTTGTATAATTTATTTCTTTATCTGTTAATTAAATGTGAATGAAATAAGATGCAACATAATAGTCATATTTATTCATTTTTTTTCTTCAAAAATTACTATTGATAAAGATCACTCAAGTATTACTTTTACACTTTTTTATATATCAAATATAAACAATTAATTCTCAACAAATTTCTAACCAGTCTAAAAAGATACACTAGTAAAAAACAAAAAATTTGATGTGTTGTTCAAATGCTATTTACATAACTTCACGGACATAAATGTCTGTAAAGTATGTGATAAGTTGAATAGCACATCGAATTTTTTATTTTTTTACCAGTAATAGCCACTTTATTTTAATTTTCAAAGCTTTTAAAACAAATAATTGATATCTTGATATGAATATAATAGATATAATCCATTCTTTAACTTTTAATAAACTATAATAAATACTGTTATTCTATTTTTCACTCATTTAAATTTAAATAAAATCATTAAAAAGAAGAGCCAACGCAACTAAAGTTGATCGAAAAGAAATTTTGTTTATTAGATTTTTTAGTGAATATTACAAAAAAACAGAAAAAGGATGCTCAAGCATTTAATTCTATAAATATCATCAATTGAGATGCTTGAGTATCATCACAATTATTATCTGATCAATTGATTTAAATACTTAAGAACAGTCTTACCCACGACTACACCAGTGATAGTATAATTTTTTAACTAAAGGAACCTATTAGAAAACTCTGGTTATATTAATTAAACTCATCAATTTATAATTCAAATAACTCGAATAAATTATTTAATTACATATAAGTCTTTTCTGAATTTAATTGTGACTTCTGGTGCTTAAAAAATACAATATTAGTAAATTACAACAATATAATATCAAAAACTCATAGTACTTAACTATTGAAGCTTTGCTAGTTTTATTCAATATAATGTTCAAAAAGATTCAGAGAAAATTCTTTTTTAATTCTATAGAATTTTGTACTAATTATTGGCTGTGTTATTATTTGGCACACAACACCTTTTAAAGCCTCAGAGATCTTTAGACTACATATTCATAGAATAACTTTTGCAAAAAAATTTTAAAGGTTTTTTTAAAACAGATTGTTATTTTTAGATAATAAAAATGCTTTTTTTTTAAATATATAGAAATCAGGTTTAGAATAACTTTTTAGTATATTGCAGATCATTTTTATATTGCATAAAATACTTGACTATTTTTACGTATAACAGATAATAGTAATTATTATGTAATTATATTACACAAAATTTATATTATCTAACTAATACGAAGTTTTTTAACTTTTTGTCTAGAAAGGTTGTTATAAGAAAAAAAAAGGTTTCGTGATTCATATTCTAAAATTTCAATTGTAGCTGCACTTCTTTTGAGAGGATTTCTACTATTCGTAGTAGTTTTTTGAAAAAAGAAAAACACATACATATGATTTTTTTTCTTTACTGCACTACAAGAAAATGTTTTTTAACCCCTAACATTTATATTTTTGATGTAACTCCCATCCATGAAATACTAAAAAATGAATATAAAGAGTTATATTGATTGGTAAATAAAGGTCTTTAATGCTATTTTGTGGATTATTCAAATTTTTTTTATCAGGTTTTAAAAAAAGTTTGAACTATTCAAGCACTACATGTTTTAAATATAAAGGATCACTATCTTGATTATATGTCACCTTATATAATTCAACAAATTTGTTCTACAAAGATCAAATTAATTTAGCTCTACTTGGATGAAAAAGTGTAGCTAAATTAAAATGTTGCAGCACTTTAATTTTATCATCTCCATTTAACGATATGTTTTTCTACGTAGTAGATTCTTGCCAAAAATGAAACTTAATATTAAGCTGTTTCATTTCATCTATAATAATTTTATGGCTAATATCATTAAATAAATTTCTTTCTTTAATTTCTGATAACATTAAAGACCAGAGCTTATCTTCAACCCGTAATAAAACATGCAGCTCGTCAAATACATAATTAGATAAAAAAATCATATCAAACAATGGTGGTTTGATATGACCAGGTATATTATAATAGTTATTTTTTAAATTATCCATTGATTTAGTAATTTTCCAATTCTGAGTTGCATTACTGATTTTTTGTTTAGAGCAAAGACACCAGGCATAAAAGTAATTGGAATTCGCAGCATTTAATCCAAGACAGATTGCAAGGGCAGTGACAGATATTACGTAATATTTTTGGGGGGGAGGGGGTAAGACTGTTCTTAAGTATTTAAATCAATTGATCAGATAATAATTGTGATGATACTCA